GGAAACAATGGACTGGCGGCGACGGGTCCGCCCTCGGCACCCCCGGTGGTGCCGGTGGGGTGGGCCCCGTCGGGACCACAAGTGGCGGTGCGAAGAAGCCGAGGCGTCGTTCGCAGCGCCGTGGCAGGGCGCTGTGGGCGGCGCTGAAGGGCATACAACGGGACATCCGCAGAAGAAGTTACAGCCGATCCTCAAGAAGAGAAGTAAGAAGCGCAGCCACCCGTCAAAGAGACGTTAGAGGAGCCACAGTCGGTCACCAAGAAGACAAGCAAGAAGCAGCGGTCGGTCAGTGCGGCGACGATCGCGAAGTGCGGATCCGAGCCGTGAGGCCATGAGAAATGACCCTCAGTGAGGGGTGATGTTTGATATAAACAATAAAAATGTTGAAATACTGTTGGTGTAAGAAGAACAGTGGATGAGGAGGAGGAGGTGACAGAAGGTTGAACCTCCTCACAACATAGGGTACGCTCCTGGCACATGTAGTGACCGTAAGGGTCACTAAGGGGAGGTGTAGAGGGGTGTGGTAGTGAGGAACTGAAAAAGGAAGGAATGAGGGAAATAGTAGACTGATTATTAGAGAGAGTGTGTAAAACGGATGGTAGTGAGCAATAAATCATTCTCCCCTTCGTCTCCTTCTCACGCGCACGAGCTGGGTGGAAAGAGAGATGACTTCTGTAGTCCACCAGCGGTCTAATTCGAATTACCAGGAAGGGGAAAGGTGGAATCCAGGATTGCCACCCAAGTTTTGGGTGAGAAGATATATGAAGTTCACTTAGGCATAGGCAGCCGGAAAGCCCTCGCTGACCAGGTGTAAGAGAGATCACTGCTGGAGCAGGAATCGATGAGGATAGCCCAAAAAGGAAGGCCAGAAATGGAACAAAGGTTACCACAAAGGAGGTCAGAGCGAATACATGAAATGACAGAGAGAATGAAGAGATACATGGAAAAAAGGGCAAGAATGAGTAGAATCCCAATTTAGTAGAAGCGATGAGCCGTGTGAAGGAAAAGGAGGGACAAGGTGCTATAGAAGGGGTAGATGCGGGTGGAGTTGGCACTTATGAGGACAAATAACCCGTCGCCCATATCACCACCTCCACCTACACCGCCACCACCGCCGACTATCCCGACTGGATCGCCGATACAATCCAGATACCCGCGCCAGTGATCACGGCGCCGTCGGCACAGCCGCAGGTAAGGAATGAGTTGACGCGCGAAGGACGTCCGAATCCCATGTGCACAGCTCGCTGCGCAGATTCAAGAAACGGCGGGCGGCGGGTATTAGTACCACCCACCGAGAAGAGAACGGAATAGAGCAGTGATTATTGTCAATGGTGTGTGTTCCAATGGAGCAAATAAATATTTGTTACAATCGGGCACTGATCGATGAGCTGTGGTACCGACAATGCGGGAGAAGGGTATAATCCTTCTCCAGTCGGTGGGTGAGTAAGTGGTTATGCAAGTGACTAAAGGTCACTTGTAGATGTTGGGAATATTGATTCTAGGTAGTGGATGGAGGCCGAGTGAGAAGGGCAGAATGCGGATAGTGAGGGAACTACTGGAAGAAGTAAACAAGGACGGTATAAAGGGTGGTCCCGACTGAGATAAAGCTTTCCCCCTCAGTATGTTCAGAGCACACCTACTATTACAATATGTTGCGCTTCACTAGCACGCTCTAATTCATCGCTCTAGTTCCTATATACGCGCAAGCGCGAGCTTATTTTCCCTAGCATCATCGCAAACCGATTTCTGCAATTTCCATATCAGAACGCTCGTGATGTCCGCCGAAGGATTTTCAACTCGAAAATAGTCTTCTTGACGCACGTATAGCCGGATGTCGTCCTCAAAAATCATTCTGCATCCGTGAAATAGTGTTTTAGAACCGATTACGTTAAGAATTTTGTACGGGAGCCTTGCAAAAATTATCTTAAAAAAC